GTCTGTCCGTTGCCCCTACCATGTTGTGATGTAGTGGCCCCAGTTTGCCCATTACCTCTGCCGTTTTGGTGACCACCATTACCTCGACCACCACGTCCTCCAGAATAACGGCCTCTACCATGACCACCTCTACCTCTTGCTATTGGGTGTCTGTAACTTTGTCTGGGACAATTTTTCCTGATATGTCCAATCTCCCCACATCCATAACACTCTCTGGAGTCAAGCATAGGCCCCTCGGAGAAGTGTTGACCGGTCTGAGGTGGTCCCCCAACTACAGTCTGTTGTAAAGACTGAATTGGTCGGACTGAGTAACTTCCCGAACCCTGTCCTCTAGTGTAAGAACCATTAAACTCACCTCCCTTTCGAAGCCTTTTTGATGTCGATGTTGTGGTGAATTCATCTGGATTCACTCCTTCCACCTCTACCACGAAATCTACCACTTCTTGGAAGGATTTTGCCGTAGCCGCTACCTGTAAGGCTGAAATCCGCAACTCTGACCTCAACCCCTTTACAAAACGACGAATCCGCTCTTCTGGACTGAAACAAAGTTGGGTGGCATATCTAGATAGTGCACGAAACTTAGCCTCATATGCATTGACCGACATCCTACCTTGCTCTAGGCTCAAGAACTCATCTCTTTTCCTATCCCTCAAAGTTCGGGGGATATACTTCTCCATAAACAAGATAGAGAGTGAGGCCCAAGTCATAGGTGGTGCCTCTGTTGGTTGACACTCAATATGTGACCACCACCACATTTTGGCGTTCCCTTGAAACTGATAACTCACGAACTCAACACCAAACCGTTCTACTATACCCATCTTGTGTAGTAGCTCATGACAGTCAACCAGAAAATTGTAAGCATCCTCAGATTCAGTACCCTTGAAGACTGGAGGTTTCAATTTCAAGAACTTACTGAAAAGTTCATGATGATCATTTGTCATTATAGGCCCAGTAGTCAGACGTGGAAACGTGCCTATATCTAATGAGGCATCCATACGAGGAGCCATAGTGGCTGCATGTTGTACCTCTGAAACCGGAGGTGTTGGTGCAGAAAACACTGGAGGTGCCTGACCTTGATTAGACAACCCACTGAGATAGGCGAGAACCTGATTGATCATCTCTGGGGTAGGTTGGGGTGGCAATCCCTTATTCTGCACTTGTTCAGTTTCCCCATCCTCCCCTTCTCTTATTACTTCCTCAGTCGGTGGAGGAGTCACTGCCCTAGTATCAGATGGGCTAGGTGCTCGTCCTCTTCCCCTAGAGAACGTCCTCCCACGACCTCTACCACGGCCTCTTGCCGTTGCTCTTCCTCGAGCTACAGCCCCAGTGGCTGGCTCAGACGTACCCTGTCCCGCCGGTGCTGGTGTTGGTGTTGGCGTAGTCGTTGCTCTAGTTCTAACCATCTGCGAAAGAGAGTGAAGATGGTCAGATACCAATTCGTATCGCCTAGATACCAATTGGACTCAAGTAGTAGCACGAAAGAAAGAATGAAAGAGTGAAATTTTCCTAAAGTCTTATAGCCTCTCAAGGAAAAGTAAAGGCGTCCCCCTACCGTTCCTTAAGACTCTACTAGACCTGTTCTTGTGTGATGAGACCAACGAACCTAATGCTCTGATACCAAGTTTTGTCACGACCCAAACCGGGTTGCGACTGGCACCCATACTTACCCTCCTATGTGAGCGAACCAACCAATCTAAACCTTAACATTTCAATATAATATAAACAGAAAGTAATGCGGAAGACTTAAACTCATAAGTAAAAATAAATAATCAACTTCTATAACTCAAAAACTTATCATTATCCCCAGAAACTGGAAGTCATCATCACAAGAACATCTACTTTAAACTACTAATCCTAAGAGTTTCTAAGAAGCTAAAAATACATAAGAAGCTAGTCCATGCCGGAAGTTCAAGGCATCAAGACATGAAGGAGAAGATCCAGTCCAAGCTAGAAGCGTTAGCTCACCCTGAAGATCCGGTGTGACGAAGACTGGCTTGAGTTACTGTTGAGTCGAAGATGACGACACATTTGCTGCACTCCACAAATAACAAGAAGAAAAACATAAAAGTAGGGGTCAGTACAAAACACGAGTACTGAGTAGATATCATCGGCCAACTCAAAATAAGGAACCGTATATATCAATATTATCGTAAATCAACTATAAAACTCAACATGTAGCAACAACAAGTATTATGATCATCGATAAGTACCATCAAGTTCATCCATGAGGGCTCAAGCCTCAACACCATACTCATTTGGGAATTAAGTATATTAAGTTGAGTATATTATCATCTTTCAAGATTCATTATCTTTCCTCCTCTTGTGTCGGTACGTGACACTCCGATCCCCTACTACTATGTGTCGGTACGTGACACTCTGATCCCCTAATTCTATGTGTCGGAACGTGACACTCCGATCCCCTACATGTGTCGGAACGTGACACTCCGATCCCCTACATGTGTCGGAACGTGACACTCCGATCCCCTACATGTGTCGGAACGTGACACTTTGATCCCCTACATGTGTCGGAACGTGACACTCCGATCCTGTACATGTGTCGGTACGTGACACTCCGATCCTCTAATTCTATGTGTCGGAACGTGACACTCCGATCCACTAATACTATGTGTCGGAACGTGACACTCCGATCCACTAATACTATGTGTCGGAACGTGACACTCCGATCCACTAATATCATTTTGTAAATCATCAAGCCTTCTCTATACCAAGGCATCATCAATCCCATTACTTTAATTCATCAAGCCTTCTTCTATACCAAGGCATCGTCATTAATAATGTATATTAAAGTTTCTTTTCAAGATTTGGGATTCAATATTTTCATCATGCTTATCTTATCACAATCACATAATTATATTCATGCAAACATACCATTAAGCATATAGTAGGGTTTACAATACTACCAATACATATCATTCACTATTAAGAGTTTACTTATGAAGCATGAAAACCATAACCTACCTCCACCGAAGAATTGGAATCAACAAGCAATTTCCCAAGCTTTGATATTCCCTCTGCCTCTTGATCGATCAATTTCTCTCTCTCCTTGTTCTCTCTATTTTCTTTATTCAAACCCTCTTTCTTTTACCCTAGTTAACATATAATTAAGTGTAAAAGATGGCAATAATACCCCACTAATTAACTTAGGGTTACCTCTTTTAACCCCCAAGAATTTGAGTTATTAATATAAACCCACAAAATCTATAATTAAGGAAGGAATAGTCCAAAAACGTCCCTTAAAACGTGTAAGGAAATCTGATTCTGCCTGGGATTTGCGCAACCTGTGACGGGCCGTCGTGCCTGCGACGGTCCGTCCTGCAGGTCGTCGCAAGAGTCAGAGAGTCAATTTCCACTAAACAATCTATGACGGTCCGTCACGCCTGTGACGGTCCGTCCTGCCATTCCGTCACGAAGTTCAGAGAGTCGATTTTTAGTACCCAATTTCAGATTTTCTAAGTGTTTTGAAACGAGACCCTGCGACGGTCCGTCGTGCCCATGACGGATCGTCGTTTGGTCCGTCGCCTCAGCCTGTTTTTCCTGAATTGAAGTTTGTTGCTCAAAACGACTAAACAGGTCGTTACAATTTTAATGTTGTGAAACAGGGAAATACGTCGACTTTGAAATGGAGGGCATCCTATACGATACTTCTACTCTTTATACTGGTTTAGTTAATTCTATAGTAACTCAGCTAAACATAGAATAAAATCTAAATTCTGTTGAGATAAAGTATATAGTTAGCGAAATGTGCCCACCTATAAAAATTCATAATGATGTTGGGGTAAAGGTTTATCTAGATCAGATGAGGGTGAATTTGGATTTTTTTACAAAATATCCATTATGCATCACTTTAAAAGATTGTGGGCATTATAACGAATTTCATAGAGTTATAGTTAATGATATAATAAATTCTGATGTTAGATTATCACAGAATAACATAGATCTATACTCCAACAATTCTATCCGTTTGATCGGAATGGATTTAGACGGAGTTGTCAATGATAATAGTGAAGTAGATAATGATATAATATGTGATCATTCTAATTTATTTGTAGCTGAAAATCAGATTTATAATAATAAAGAAACCCTTAAGGAGGTTATGAGGCATGTTGGACTTGTTGAGAAGTTCAGCTTTCGGGTTGCACGTTGTAATGCATCTAAGTAAGTTTAAATTTATTTATTTATATTTGTTGTTTTGTTATAATGTATATATATTGTAATTTATATTTTATTAAATTTTGTAATAGTTATCATCTGCATTGTATTTCTAAGAGTTATTCTTGGATGATGAGGGCATCTAGTTTGAATAAATCTAGTTTATTCAAAGTTCGGAAGTATATTGCTCATTATACATGTTGTGTTAGAGAAAGAGTTTATGCCAGACGTCAAGGGATAACTGACGTTGTAGCTGTCTTGATAATGGATAATTATATTGATCCATCTAAGGTATATACTCCAAAAGATGTAGCTGATGATATGTTGAAATTGCATGGTGTTTCGTTGACATACATACAGGCATGGAGAGCTAAAGAAAAAGCAGTAAAGTTGGTGCGAGGAGATCCAGCAGAATCTTATGCAAGATTACCTGGTAATTTCGAATATAATGATAAATTTAAACATTTGTTTATTTTGTTGTGTAGTAACAGTTTCGTGTATTATTTATGTATAAGATATGTATTTTTTATGTTTGAATTGGGCTGTTATTTTCAGGTAATTTCGAAAATAAATTTATACAGTAACAGTTATGTGTATTTTTTATGTATAAACTATGTATTTTTTATGTATGAATTAGACTGTTATTTTCAGGTTATTTTTACATTTTGGAGCAAACATATCCAGGATCTGTTTTGAAAATAAAAAGGAATGAAGATGATACATTTTTATATGCATTTGTAGCTTTATAAGCATGTATTAGGGGCTGGGAATATTGTAGGCCAATTGTAGTTGTTGATGGTGCTGCATTAAAATGTTCATATGGTGGTACAATGTTAACTGCAAGCACATTGGATCCCGGAGGTAAAATATTAGCCTAAATAATTTTCTAATTATATAATATAATGAAAAAAAATATATGAATGATATTTTTTATTTGTGTGATATTTTTTCTAAAAATTAATGAGCAGGTCATATACTTCCGTTGGCGTATGCGATAGTAGATTCTGAAAATGATGCTTCATGGACATGGTTCTTTGAGCAATTTAGAGAAGCATATGGAGTTAGACAAAATATGTGTTTTATGTCAGACAGAAATGAAAGCATATGGAAAGGGACAACAAATGTATATCCTGAATCAGAACATTATGCATGCATATGGCATTTATCAGTCAATGTTTTGAAGAATTTCAATAGAAATACTGAAGATTTGAAGATGTTGTTCTTTTCATTGGCAAAAGCTTATACAAAACAACAGTTTGAGACAATTATGGGAAAAATAGATCAGATAGATACGCGAATACGACCATACTTGTTTGATATTGGTTATAGCAAATGGTCAAGATCTTACTCGAATTGTAAGCGCACATGGACGATGACTTCAAACATCGCGGAGTCATTGAATAATGTTAACATATTAGCACGGAGGTTACCAGTGATTTCACTTCTTGAGTTTATGAGGGTGACAATTCAGAGGTGGATTCACAAGCATAATGAGGAGGCTGATAAGACTACATCTAATTTGACAAAAAAATATGATGTTTATCTACAGAAAATTATTACGTTGTCGTGCAATATGAGGGTATGTTTTTCATTGTATTGTATTTTTAATTCATACTAATCTTCAGCATGTAAAAAATATTTTTTTTAGACAGGTGATACCTTCAACTGTTGATCTGCACGCTGTAGCTGAAGGAGCAAAGAAATACATAGTAAATTTGAACACAAGGATGTGTAGTTGCGGAAGATTTCAACATTATGAGATACCATGTGGTCATGCAATTGCTGTTCTCCGGTACAGGAAGTTCCATGAAGCAGATTTTTGTTCTGCTTTTTATAGCCTCAAGAATTTCAAAGATGTTGTCACGACCAAAAACCGGGCTGCGACTGACACCCACACTTACCCTCCTATGTGAGCGAACCAACCAATCTAAACCTTAACATTTCAATATAATATAACCAGAAAGTAATGCGGAAGACATAACTCATTAATAAAAACCAATTCAATAACTTCTAAAATTCAACATCTATTATTCCCCAAAATCTGGAAGTCATCATCACAAGAACATCTACTTCAAATTACTAGATCTAAGAGTATTCTAAGAACCTAAAACAATTAAAAACTAGTCCATGCCGGAACTTCAAGGCATCAAGACATGAAGAGGAAGATCCAGTCCAAGCTAGAAGCATTAGCTCACCCTGATATCCGGAGTGATGAAGACTGGATAGAGTTGTGGTTGAGTTGAAGACGACGGCACGTTTGCTGCACTCCACAAATAACAAACGGAAAACATAAAAGTAGGGGGTCAGTACAAACACAAGTACTGAGTAGGTATCATCGGCAAACTCAAAATAGAAAACAATATATACCAAGTAATATCATAAAATCAACTATGATACTCAACATGTAGCAATAACAAGTACTTTAATAGTTAATAAGTATTGCCAAGTTCATACATGAGGACTCAAGCCTCAATACCATACTCATTTGGGAATTATGTTCATTAGATTGAGTATATTAACATCTTTCAAGATTCATTATCTTTATTCCCCTCGTGTCGGTACGTGACACTCCGATCCATATACTATCCTGGTGTCGGAACGTGACACTCCAATCCTCATATACTATCCTGGTACCGAAACGTGGCACCCGATCCATATACTATCCTAGTGTCGGAACGTGACACTCCGATCCTCATTCAATCCTGGTACCGGAGCGTGGCACCCGATCCATATACTATCCTGGTGTCGGAACGTGACACTCCAATCCTCATTCTATCCTGGTACCGGAACCTGGCACCCGATCCATATACTATCCTAATGTCGGAACGTGACACTCCGATCCTCATTCTATCCTGGTACCGGAACGTGGCACCCGATCCTCTATTTCTATCCTGGTATCGGAACGTGGCACCCGATCCCCTAATCTCACCACTTTCATTCATCAAGCCTTCTTTTATACCAAGGCATCATCATTAACAAAGTAGATTAGGGTTTCTTTTCAAGATTTGGGATTCAATAGCTTCATCATGCTTATTTATTCACAATTACATAATCATATTCATGCAAGCATACAATTAAGCATATAGAGGGGTTTACAATACTATCAATACATATCATTCGCTATTAAGAGTTTACTACGAATATCATAAAAACCATAACCTACCTCCACCGAAGATTCGTGATCAAGCAACAAATTCCCCAAAGCTTTGCTATCCTCTTCGTTTCTCTCTTTCTCGTTCAATTCCCTCTCTCTCTTGTTCTTTCTATTTTCTTATTCCAATCCTCTTTCTTTTACCCTAATTAACATATAATTAGAATGAACAATGGCAATAATAACCCACTAATTAACTTAAGGTTACCTCTTTTAACCCCCAAGTACTTAGACTTATTAACCTTAACCCTCTAACTTTATAATTAAAGAAGGAATAGTCCAAAACGTCCCTTAAAACGTGTAAAGAAATCCGACCCAGACTGGGATTACGCAACCTGTGACGGCCCGTCGTGCCTGCGTCGGTCCGTCCTGCAGGTCGTCACAAAGTTCAGAGACTGGATTTCCACGAAGTTCAGAGAGTCGATTTTCAGTACCCAATTTCAGAATTTCTAAGTGTTTTGAAACGGGACCCTGTGACGGTCCGTCGTGCCCATGATGGTCCGTCGTGGGGTCCATCGTCTCAGCCAATTTTCCAGAAATAAAATCTGCTGCTCAAAATGACTAAATAGGTCGTTACAATAGATACCAATTTACCCATCGTTCGTCCTCAAACGATCACAAAAAGAAAAACAAGGGCGAGAAGGAGTACCTTAATCTTTAAACAGATGTGGGTATCTTTCTTGCATATCTGCCTCCTTCTCCCAAGTGGCTTCTTCAACCGGTCGATTCTTCCATTGCACCTTCATGGATGCAATCTCTCTTGACCTCAACTTGCGAACTTCTCTATCTAAAATAGCAACAGGCTCCTCTTCATAAGACAAGTTCTCATCAAGCAAAACTGAATCCTAACGGATAATGTAGTTTCCATCCCCATGGTATCTCTTCAACATCGACACATGAAATACCGGATGCACTCCGGAAAACCCTGGAGGCAAGGCTAACTCATAAGCCACCTCCCCTACTCGCTTAAGTACTTCAAAGGGTCCAATATATCTTGGGCTTAGTTTACCTCGCTTACCAAACCGCATCACCCCTTTCATTGGCGAAACCTTCAATAAGACTTGTTCACCTTCCATGAACTCTAAGTCTCTAACCTTTCGATCTGCATATTCTTTTTGTCTACTTTGCGCCGCTAGAAGCTTTTCTTGAATAGATTTCACTTTCTCTAATGAATTCCTCAAAAGGTCGGTGCCCCAAGGTCTAACCTCAAATGCATCAAACCAACCAATGGGAGACCTACATCTCCTTCCATACAATGCTTCAAATGGGGCCATATCAATACTTGAGTGAGCTATTGTTGTAGGAGAACTCTGCTAAGGGTAAGAAACTATACCAATGACCACCAAATTCTACCACACATGCACGAAGAATATCCTCCAACACTTGAATCGTTCGCTCAGACTGACCATCGGTCTGAGGATGGAACGCAGTACTAAGGTCCAACCTAGTACCCAATTCCGTATGCAATGTTTTCCAAAACTTAGAAGTAAACTGCGTACCTCTATCTGATATGATGGAGAGTGGAACCCCATGCAATCGAACGATTTCTAAGATATAGATCTTGGCTAACTTCTCGGCATTGTAAGTCATCTTAACCGGAATGAAATAAGCAGACTTAGTTAACCTATCAACAATCACCCAAATAGAGTCCTACTTACCCATTGTCTTTGGAAGACCAACCACGAAATCCATTGCAATACTCTCCCACTTCCATTCAGGAATAGGCATTCTCTGAAGTGTTCCTCCGGGCCTCTGGTGTTCATACTTTACTTGTTCACAATTTGGACACTTGGCGATAAAGTCAACAATATCACGCTTCATTCTACTCCACCAAAAGTGTTGCTTTAGGTCACGATACATCTTGGTTGCACCCGGATGTATAGAATACCTTGAACTATGAGCTTCTGTCAGAATAGTGTTGATCAAATCATCGACGCGGGGTACACATACCCTTCCCTTAATCCTCAACACACCTTCCTCATCGATTGTTGCTTCTTTGGCCTTTCCTTGCAGCACTTTATCTCGGATCTGAATCAATTTCTCATCATTAAACTGATTTCCTTTGATCTTGTCAAGGAAGAAAGATCTTGCCTCCACACAAGCCAAAAATCCTCCCTTCTCGTTTACTTCTAATCTCATAAGGTCATTAGCAAGAATCTGAACTTCTCTAGCCAATGGGCGTCTAGAAGCTTGCAAGTGAGCTAGACTTCCCATGCTTCCCGCCTTTCCACTTAAAGCATCCGTTACAATATTTGCCTTCCCCGGATGATACAAAATAGTGATATCGTAGTCCTTCAGCAGTTCCATCGATCTCCTCTGTCTCAAGTTCAAATCTTTCTGAGTAAAGACATACTGTAGGCTACGATGACCCGTGTATACTTCACACTTAACCCCATATAGATAGTGTCTCCATTGCTTTAATGCAAACACTACCGCAGCCAATTCCAAATCATGGGTCGGATAGTTTCGTTCATGCACTTTTAATTGCCTCGAAGCATAAGCAATTACACTCTTCTCTTGCATTAGTACTGCACCCAAACCAGAATAGGATGCATCACAATAGACAATGAAGTTCTTACCTTCCACTGGCAAGGTAAGGATAGGTGCGGTAGTCAACAAAGTCTTGAGTTTCTGAAAGCTTTCCTCACACTCATCCGACCATACAAATGGAACATTTTGCTTAGTCAAGTTCGTCAGTTGGGAAGCAATAGAAGAGAATCCCTTGACAAATCGGCGGTAGTAGCTAGCTAACCCAACAAAGCTCCTTATTTCTGACACATTAGTAGGTCTTACCCAATTCTTCACTGTCTCAATCTTAGAAGGATCCACCATCACTCCATCCTTAGAAACCACGTGCCCCAAGAAGGACACTGCATCTAGCCAAAACTCACACTTAGAGAACTTGGCATAAAGCTTTTTCTCCCTCAACATTTCCAATACAATTCTCAAATGCTCCTCATGTTCCTTCTTACTTTTAGAGTATATCAGTATATCATCAATAAATACGATCACCAAGAGATCCAAATATGGCTTAAAAATCCCGTTCATCAAGCTCATGAACGCAGCAGGGGCATTCGTAAGACCAAAGGACATCACTACAAATTCGTAATGCCCATACCTGGTTCAAAAAGCAGTCTTTGGCACATCCGTTGCCCGTATTTTCAATTGATGATAATCGGATCTCAAGTCAATCTTAGAGAAGACACACGCACCTTGTAACTGATCGAACAAGTCATCTATGCGAGGAAGAGGATACTTGTTCTTAATAGTTACCTTGTTCAACTGCCTGTAGTCTATACACATCCTAAAACTCCCATCCTTCTTCTTCACAAACAAAACCAGAGCACCCCAAGGAGATGCGCTTGGTCTAATGAAGCCCTTGCTCAACAACTCTTGAAGTTGGGCCTTTAACTCTCTTAACTCCGCGGGAGCCATTCTATAAGGGGGTATAGAAATGGGGCGAGTACCCGGTTCAAGATCGATACAGAAGTCAATATCCCTATCTGGTGGCTTACCAGGAAGATCTGCAGGGAACACATCCAAAAACTCACGGACTACCGAAATCGACTCAATCGAGGGTACTTGAGCAGTGTCATCCTTGAGATGTGCCAAGAAAGGTAAACACCCTTTACTAACCATTTTCTTAGCACGAAGAAAGG